CAAGACACAGTTACTTCCCGGGCGGTCAGGAATGCCGGATAACGCCTGCCTGGTCTCTGCAGGAAGCCTGCCTGTCTGTCTGTAAGCCAGGCTTTGCGTCACATGCATGTGGTGGAGCCTTGCTGGATCAGAGCTGTTTCGGTTGTCTCTGCAGAGCTTTGGCTGCTGCTTTTTCAGAGGGAGTGCAGGGAAGTGGTTTGGGTGGGCTTGGGGTCTGCAAGGGAGGTGCTTTCCCCCCCGCAGCACCACTCCCTCTCAGGGTCCAGTGCCTAAACAGCAGGCACTTAAGGAAGGAAGGCTGGGTTGGAGGGGTTGTTTCACTTCTGGTATTGGTTTGCCCTGTAATTGATCTATATTATCATATTGTTTTGATTCCAGTTTCATTTGCAATTAAAACTGCATTCTTTGCTCTCGTATCTTCAGCAAGAATTGTGCAAGAAGCTTTTTATTTTCCATTGATACTAAAATATAAAATTACAGAATAAAATGTCGTGAAATAGAAAAAGATTCATTTTTGGCTTAGTATCAGTCTAACTAAAGCTATGCAGAATATGTGTATTTCTTGAATATGGAACACTGTATCTGTCAACGTTTTGATAGTCAAACTTTTTGGGGGGTACCTGAAAGTCAATTTTTAAAGAAAAGGGCAGCAGAGCTGTGGGTTTGGTTTATTTTGTAGCAGCAAGTCAAATGGAACATTGCATTTTAAAAATCCTTCAGAGTTTCCTTACGAAGGTAAATACCCAGAAATTCCGGATATTCTGATCCAGAATAATGGACAATATCCTCAGAATCTCAATTGGCCATTCTTAAAGCTTACCTTTGCATGTAAAGACTAGAATGATGAATTTCAAAACTGCACAAATGATGTGAAGTATCTAGTTTTCTACTTGAGCGGCCAAATAAATGCCCACTTTCAGAGATGATGAATAACGACGGCTTGTTAACTTTACGGAGCACGGGATACAGAGCATGTATACAGAAATATGTATCTTGCTAGATCATATGCACTAAACAGTCTTCAAAGTACTCTCCTAAAAGTAACCTGGGAAGTGATGTAGCAATTCTGTAGACTATACTTTGATAAATGCTGAAAAATAATATTGATTTCCTTTGCATATTTCTGCAGGTGAAAAAGGTGTGAGGGTTGAACTTAATAAACCTTCTGACTCAGTTGGGAAAGACGTTTTATAAGCCTTTGATTTAGCAACTCCCCTTGCTATTCTCCCTGATAAATCTTGATGCTATCTATTAACTTTTGAATGTGAATAACAAGATAAAGGAAAATCAACAACAAACCAACATTTTAATAAAGAAGCAAACAGTGTTTCAATGTTGCATCAAATAGAAGATTCTTTGACTGCTGAAGCATTGTACTATGTGATTGTGACTCCAGGCCTGTGACTGCTTATGTGAAGAAGATAAGCAATCAGTAAGAAACAGCATATGCATCTGGACATAAATAAGTGCCCTACATAGAATTTGTCCATTCTTATATTTTGCCAGACCTGTCATCCAGCTGAATCCAATTCATCTCTCCCTTTTTTTATATGGTAAAAGTTTGAATTTTGGGTAATTTTTGTATGACCAGGTACAGTTTATCAAAATTGAGTCTTAAAAAAAAAAAAACTGAAAAAAAAAGAAAAAAATTACAGTATTCTCCAAAATAACATGGATCTATTTTTGTAAAACTGTTCATACTGTTCTCCTCTGCCATGAAAGACCTAATTTAATGTAAGGGTTGCCAGTAACTGATAATCACTTTAATTTTCTTTACACCTTAAGTCAGAAAAGGAGCACTTTAATTACCAGCTAAAAACCTGATTGTTTTATATCATATCTCACACTAATCTTAACTTTTAAAGATTGCTGCTGTATTGTTGTTTTTTTTTTTGACTATGTCCTCTTGAACCTTATTAACAGACGCAAATCAGTATCTCGCTATTAATAACATTCAGTTTGTGGTTTTGTATGTTGAATCCACAGAGGGGAAAGTTTTTCTGTCTCTTTTTGTTTGGTTTTTTGTTTGTTTTGGTTTTTTTAAGTGACTGGCACTAAGTGAACTTGACACTATCGGTTGCTGTCATTGGCTTTGGGGACCTGGTAAATACCATCGATTTACAAGATTATACAAGGGCTTTCCTAGGCTATTAGAGGTACCCAGAACCTCCTTACATACTTGACAGAAGATTTTGAGCTTTTTCCCATTTCTAAAGAATACTTGTCATCCCCCTTTCCTTTGTATATAAGTTAATAGAATATCTAAAATTCACTTTTTTTAAAATTTCCTTTTCAAATGTTGGTGTCCCATGCAGTCTTTAAGGTGACACCTTGATCTATTATATAGTATCAAGGCGATGGTCAGCACACTGAAGCTGAAATGCATCACTGTAGGCTCCTTGTGCAATACATCGTTAGGTTTTCACTGTGTTGAAGGATTTCCCCAAAAAGGCACTGCCCTTTGATCAATACTGAGGTATATATTTAGTAAGAAAATTTTTATTTTCTTTTACATTGTTTTCATTTTATCAAGGAGAGGGGACATCACAGAATAAAAGTGAGATGTGAGAAACTTTGATATTATTATTTTTTAAGAAATGGATGTTTTAGACACTGATTTTTTTTTCTTTTTTTTTTCTCCTGAGCTTTAAAAGCTTGAGAAAACAAAAGTAAACCTATAAAAGACAGCATTCATATTTACAGGAGTTTGGGGGTTGATCAGCTTACCCACTGCAGTTTTCTATCTGTCCCTTATTTCCTAACTTAGCCAAAACAATGTGAGTGTACAGAAATATTTCTGTATATATTACAACTTGTGACAATTTTAGCATCTGTATAGTTTGTATTCAATTAGAGACCTTTTCTATGGAAAGCTCAGTAATTTTTTATTAAAAAGATTACTATTGTTCATGTAAAACATGAAAAAGCTAATTGTTTAGTAACAAACTGACAGAAAGGGGAAAAAATTCAGTATCAGTATATCATTATAGGAGAACCAACAGAATTCCCAATTTTGTTTTGATTTCTCTTTTCCTTTTTTTAGTAAGTTCTTGCCCTTTATAGTTCTCTTCCTCTTTTCTTCCCAGAAAAACAGACAGGATACCTTTACTGTAAGTGCCTCTGCCAACCTGGCCAAGGAGTGCAAATCTTCATTACTGTCTGGTCTGCAGTGCATTTAGGCTACCAATGAAACAAGCAAAAAAAAAAAAAAAAAAAGCCACCTCTTCTACTTCATCTTCTTTAGTACTACTTTAACGGAGGTTTGGTTGGTTTTGGTTTAGAAATAAGCCTTTAAACTCATTTCAGTCCCTCTGTAATTCAAACTTCTGCAGTTACGTGGCGTATCAAATTCTAATCACACCATAGGTTTGTGCTTGCCAGACAGGTTTAAAAAGTGCTTAATTTTTCACTCCACGTAAGTCATTACAATAGGGTCAACAAATCAGGTCAGCCATTTCTTCCATGTCCTTTAGAAACTGTTCATTTCATGTCAGTTGAATATTCAGTCTTGAGCATCACCAAGCAGGTCCTTGTTTTAAAACTATTTTTTAAACTGTCTTATGATCTGTATGTGTCTAGTCCTGGTTAAAGATAAAGCTTCATAATGCTATTTTTATTCATGATGTTAGCCGGCTGTAAAATATGAGACCTTTATCTATAGCAGGCAAAGAAATTCAGGATTCATTTACAGGTTGCCTATAAAGTTGTGTAATTTGAAAAGCAGTGTTCATTATGAAAGAGCTCTCAAGTTGCTTGTAAAGCTAATCTAATTAAAAAAGATGATGTATAAAGGTTCTCAGAATGATGTGGTTATTTGTAATCTATGTAACTTTCTGTAGCAACTAATTTATAAATACAGACACACCTCACACACCCCACCTCCGATAAAGGGAGCATGTGGATTTTTGGTGGGTTTGTGGAGGTTTCTTTTTTTGTTTATTTGTTGGGGGTTTTGTTTGGGGGTGGTTTTGGGGTTTGTTTTGTTTGTTTTTTAAGTCAGAGCTATTTCTGCTCTGGAGAAGGGTCTGCTGCTTTTTAGACTGCCTACAGTTGCCTGGGGATGGTGATTGTTTTGCTGATGATTTTCTCCCTCAAAAATACCACATAGTTTAGGCTGACTGGAGAGTGATGATAGACGTAGAGGCAGCTTCAGTTTTTTTTCTCCACTTTCTGATAGGTACATGAGGTGCAAAACAAAAATCCTGTTTGAAGAGGACTTTTAAGGTTTAATGTGAGCTCTTCAGTTTTATGTGGCTCCCAATGAATTATGAGCCCTCTGAAGATGCCAGAAGAATGGTAGAGCCTATAGCTGCCAGTCTGTATGAGATGCCACACAATTTCCCTAAGCTTTTTGATGATCTTCATAAATGTCTGTATGGTAATGAAGCAAGCATCTGGCTGGCTGTGCTTCTGCCATTGCTCTAACTCTTGTGAAGCCCCCTTGCACATCCTTGTGCATCTTGTGTCGGTTCAGGAGGAGTTACCTGGATCTCCAGTTGAGTCTGCCAGTCTTGGTGCACCTTTCATGGTACTTGGGTACTTCTGCTCTTGCTGAAACCTAAGGGCAGCAGCACTGAGCTGATCCCAAAGTGCTTTTTGGCTGTTTCCATGCTTCAGTGCTGTATAACTTCTTACATGTTCCCTTGAAATATCTTCTTCACCAACTTTGTTTTACGTTGAACAAGGAAGAAGCCTTTCTAGCACTTGCAACCATCCTGGGTAGACCTGATTTTTAATATTTTTTTTTTTAATTATCACATTTTTGAGCACAATACACAGGAGGATCGTTTTGCATAGTAAAGTCAAACACTGCACCAGGGAAAGATGAAGTCTCTCTTGGGTGTTTCTCAAAAGAAAAATGCTTGTAAATCTGAGAGGAAGCTAGCTGACAGGCTATATCTTATGTAAAACATCTGGCTGTGCTGACCACTTTAAGGTCAGGAGTGGAAAGATCACACCTCTAAGTCACACTGAGAACTATAATCAGACTGGAAAGTACCATTTTTCTGTCTGCTGAATGCTTTGAAGAAGAGAGGAGACTGCTAAGTGACAGCAGGAAACTCAAAATCTCAAAACCTTGGATGTCTAGCCTGTGTACCTTGCCTGCAGCATGCAGATATGCAGATAGCTGCATGCACATGCAAACACATAGTGGGAATTTATGAGTATTCAGCAGCAAAGACCGAAGAAATTCATGGGGCTGACTTGGATTTGTATCTCATCTGGTTTTGGGTTTGTTGTTTTGGGTTTTTTAATTTTTTTTTGCGGGGGTATGGATCTGCAGAAACTTGGGCCTCCAATAGACACCTTTCATATAGAATACTCAGCTATTTTGTAGATGTAGAGTAAAGCTTGAATGTAAATAATTGCTGCAAATGTGTTGAACCCTGCTTGTGCTATTACGCTGCTGCAAGATCTGTGCTCACTCTAGAGCATCTGCTAAGTCGGAGTTGCCCGACCCTGTCTGGTGGGGGGGGATAGCAGCTGACAGAAGCAGGTTCAAGGTCCTCTTGTCCTGCCAGACAAAACCAGTTCCAGAGAATTCTCTTTGGTGACTTTTGCTGCTACTTAGTTCCATCAGGCTTTTCCCCATAGCTTTGAAGTTGAGTGAATACACAGCACATTTACCCCTTTCCCAAAATAAGGAAGAAAGGGGAAAAAAAAAAGCCCATAGCTCCCAAATGAATGAGCCAGGTACTAAGACTTGGCTCTAAAAGTGGAAGGAGCAGATGAGATGCAAATCACCGGCCCACTGGGGATAGACTCGAGTCCTTAGCAGGACAGGGAGGAAGGAATGAGTTGAACAGAAATGGTAAAGCAGGACAGGAAGAGACAGACCCGTACATCAGACCAAGATAAAAAGTGTGTGGGGTGGGTGTGGGGAACATGGGACATGCAAAGCAAAAATATGCGATGGGGATCTGCTTTGGGAGGGAACATGAGGTGTGAGGAGAAAGGATACATAATGTGTTTGCCTTGGGAAAGTCGATTGTTGATGCATCCCATCCACTTTTCTCTTCGTGGATGTGTTGCAAAATAGCACATTTTTATCTCTGAAAATGAGAGGTTCATAACTTTTTGCTTGAAGTGGGATTTGGTTTCCTTGTCTGTCTTCCAGGTGTAAATTGTTGGACTTTGGGGATTTTTTTTTTGCCTCTTATTAAATGTACAGCTCGGAATGAAACTTCCATTGGTTAATAGTTTGTGGGTTCTTCTGGAGAACTTACTATAACTACCTTGTATATAACGTGGAGATAAATGCTGGGAAAGGTGACCACCTCATTTAGCCTATGAGCCCAGTACCAGCATCTTCACATGGCTAAAGGTTTGCAGGGCATGCCTCACGTCTGAGTGGGGAGGAGTGTAAAGCACGCAGATGGACTAACAACTTGCCCGTATCACACACAGCTGACTCACTGCTTCAGGGCAGTGGCTAAACTGGAAAGCCATTCTTTTTCAAATGCAGTTGGGGATGATGGGAAGTAAAATTCATCTCTAATATTCACCGTGCGGATCCAGTGCTCCTTGTGGGCCTGTCTGGGTGGCAACGTGCTTTGTCAGGGTGGAACCAGTTCCTCTCCTGGGCTCGTTTCAAGGGCTGGTGTGGTTCAATTTTATTTTCACTTTTAAGTAAAAGATTAATCCAGAA